AACCCTGGAGAAAGTATTGAAAATACTTAGGAGAAAGAAAGGTGATTATGTCTTGGGGGACCCACATTTATTCTTTTGTTATTCATTTTTAGATGGTGAAAGAATGTCTCCTGACACTGTGTCAGGACAGAAGTTTTTCCTTTCATCCCCTTTGCTCCTTTCATCCTCATCCTTAGTTACTGGGGAGTGTGTGGTGGGGAGGGGTGTCTCTTACCAGAAAAAAAAGAAATTAAGTATTTTAAAGAGAGGAATATATTGCAGAAGATAGGCTAAATGCACAGAGAAAACAAATAGGGTTTCATGTTCCCAGAGATTCATAACAGAAAGCCACTACCACCCCTTGAAGCAAAGGGACATCAAGGTACCTGGTGGAAGCTGCACCACAGTAAGCCTGACCAGCAAGAGATGGAGTCTCAAAGAAGATGCAGCTGGTGTCTTATAGGCAGCCTAAGGTAGAGAAAATATCCCTTCTCCATTCTCCTACCAGTGTCCTCCATTGGCCAAATCTCACCCAAAGCCAACTGACCCAGGAGTGTGGAAAACACCCCTATGATTCAGAACAGGGCAGAGGAAGGGTGTGGAATTACTCTGAGTACAAACTGGCCAGTGACTGGTATGATACAGAGTAAAATAATACTGTCAAAGCTGATAAATATTAGTAATAGAGACGTCTTGTAGTCTTCTGGATGTTTGTAGAAGTAGACCATGGATCTGTAGGGCTGGCTTCATGGGCACATGGGCTGTGTAGTTCCACAGGGCCAACAAATTATGTAGCCAGTTCTGTGCATTAATAACCTACAGCTGTAGTTGTGGAATGTAGAGAATGTGGCTCTGCTGTCATCCTTCAAGGATAGAGCTAGGACCTACCACACACAAAGGACACTGGAGAAGCAGTGACTCTGAAGTTGACTTTGAGGGCTGAACAGTAGTGTCAGTCAGGATCCAGGGGCAAGGGGAAGGGGTTAATAGAAAAGGGTAGGGGACTAGAAGAGAAAGGACCCCAGACTCTCACAGAGGGCTGATTCTGTGTGGACTGAGATATAAGCCAATAGGTATGGGTATATATTGTAGTCTATCTTCTGAACTCCCAAGTGTGTGAGATCTGCCACTAAGAATATTGAATCCTTTTTTGGTAAACAACTGTGCCTGTCCTTTCCAGAAATTACCAAGCACAATGAAAGGATTATGATAATCATTTCACAGAAGAGAACAAGAGATCCATGAAAACTTGTATAAACACACCTAATCTCCTAGGGTTTTCTGTGAAAGCAGTTTGGTATGGGGAATTTAAAATCTGTAATAAAGATTAGAAATTTCTTATTCAGAACACTCAATTGCTTGACTTTGCAATTTCCTATGCTACTAAACTCTTCCCATTCTTTTTTTATGCATTGCTTAACAGTTATGGGTCATAAAAGTTTTTAAATTCTTGGGTCTATAGCTGTATTTAAGATCATCTGTTTTTATTCAGACCAAAGAAGCTGGATTCTTGAATTTTTATCTTTTATTTTATTGAGATCTTAGTAGCAAAAAAAAATTTGTAGGCATTAAATGTCAGAATTATATAGAATCTATCTTTTGATATATTGAAGTTTTTTTTTAACAAATCAACCTAACGTTTACAACCTACTAGGCATTTGTTCTAAGTGCTTTACAAATATTTGCACACAAAACTCTACGCATCTTTAGCCCTCCACTGGGGGTCTTTAACAAAAAGATTAATAAGAGAAAAACAGTTTAATGAATACAGTGTACATCATGCAGGAGAAACCTCAACAAAGGGTAACTCAAAGTGATGGCTTAGAACTCTGGCCTATAAGATGCTATCATCTTCAACAAAGAACAATAACTTTGTTTAGAAGTGGCAGGACAAAGGAAAATGGTTTTAGTCTTCCTAGAGTGGCAAACTACAGGAAGATCAATATATGGGAAGAAACTAATGGAGTAAGGTTTATTTGAAAATTCCTCTAGTACCAGCTCTATGGTGGTAAAGTCTAGAGTCATCTCCAGTAAAGCAGAATTTACATCCTGCCTTTAGGCAGAGGGCAAGGGGAGGGAGGTAGAGAAAGCTTTTTCTGTATTTGCTACTTCCTAATTGTCTTCAGCTCCAAATAATTTTTATGTCAAAGAGTCATATTTTGGGTAACATATTTGGTTTCTTTCAGGAGACACTATTATTTCATTCTACAGGTGAGAAAACTGAGGCACAAAGTGAACAAGCATGTAGCCTGAATTCCCTAAAATAGCTTTTTCTATTCTGTTATTCTTAAACTGGTTTCCCTTTTACTGGGGGTTTTTCACAAGAAGAAAGAAACAAGGGAAGTTTCTAGATCATTTACACCTCTTTACCTGAATTCTATTTTATAGAAGCTCCTAAGGATACTCCTCTTAAACTGCTCATCCAAACTGCCATAGTAGTCTGTGCATCATACCCAGCAGCCTTTAACGTCCACACACATTGTGTTAAAAATCACCAAGTTTATCTTAAAACATACAAAATGCAAAGATTAACAGAAGGTATCTGCCCTGAAAGAGATAGAAAGAGCTGAAAGCAATGTGTTAGCAGGCAGGCAGGAATACCTGATGCTCCTTGCCTCCAACACACACACACACACACACACACACACACACACACACACACACACACGTAAGGAGATGGGTAGCAGGGAAGCTTCCTTGAGGGGTGATCCTCATACTAAATCTTGAAGGAGAATATGTAGTTCACCAAGCAGAAAAGCAAAAAAAGAATTTCCAGGACTAGCATGTAAAGACACATAAGCATGACACAGCATATAAAGAGCAGGATATGTGTGGTGTTAGAAGATAGTTTTCCAAAAAAAAAAAAGATAAAGTCATGACTCTCATAGAGATGTCTCATAGAAATGAACTTGTACTAACTTTCTCTCATTAGGCAGATTTTATAAATACCAGTTCAAAGGATAAGTCTAAAAAACAGACACACAGATCAGGAATATTGAAATGAATGTGCCAATTGAGGCAAAACTGGCTTCTTCCACAGTGAGAGTGGGAAGTCAACTGAGGATAAGACAGGATTTGCATGTCCATAGACCATTATTTTGTATTGCTACCACTTACTTTAAAATTAGTAAGATATGTCCCATAGAATCAGAATCAGATAATGCAGAAGGGTGACTCCTACATATAGTTTTCCACTGAAGTACAACTTTTCCCCTACAGGGACAACAAGAGACAAAATTTGTTAAATATTCAGTGGCCACAGGAGAGAACCATAAAAGGTTTGGACTTCTTTCTGCTAGTTTTAGTCTCTAAGTAAAGGAGGTTCATGAAGGACCAATCTGGGAATGCCAGGATCTCTGACATGGGAGGGGCAGGGCAAGGCCTGGCAGCAGGTGGAAACCTCACCGAAATACCACAAGTGTCACCTGCCGGACACCAAGACCTGACCTTTACCTCACACCTGCTTGTATTCACTGACCTTTGTTCCACATTTTTCCTTAATCTCTTTTTTCCAGCTCCTCTCTTAACTTGGGTAAATGGGAAGTGAAACTTCCCTTAAGCCATAGCGACTGCCCTAAGACCTCCAGCCAGCCCAGGCCACCCAGACCAGTTTGAATTTAACTTCTGACTCATGCTTGTGCAGATGGACCATGTTATGACCTCTGGAATAACTGATGATTACCTTAACTCATCATAATACTAAAATCCCCACCCAAGAGGGGCGCCTGGCTGGCTCAGTTGGTTAAGCAAGTGTCTGACTTCGGCTCAGGTCATGATCTTGTGGTTCATGAG